ATCTTTTCAACACTGAACTTAGCGCACTCTGCTGGTGCATTTGAAAACTAATTCACGTTCCAATTAAGCATCAGCATAATTCGGCATTGTGCGCCACTGAGTCGCATTATGCTCTGTGATTGGAAAACTACCAGTAATTGCTTTCGTGCACCCGAAAACGGGCTAACGACCAAGTGTAATCGAGCCATAACGCGGGCGGACACGCAAGTGTTATATACGCGCTTATACAGAATAGAACAGTCGTATTATCAAGCATAAGAAATAAAAAGTATCGTTTATAAATGTGGATAAATAAAACTAATTTATAGTGTATTGTAGGTATATTTATCAATTACATATTAAACATTTATCTTTTGCTCTACATGACATGTTGTTCTACAGCGAAAAACTGTTAATTCACTATCAGTATATCTACAAACAATAGTACAATATACATTTTTGTAACTTTAATTGCATGGTCAATCTTATTACTGGCAACATTTTTCCATACTATGTAAATATTTTAACGTTTATTCAGCAACAAATACCATCATACTATGATTTTTCTGTTATTGATGATTGTGCGCGGAAACTAAATAAAATTTTCATTTCATAAAACTACATAGTATTTCTCATTAAAGAGTTTATTTATTATACACATGCACTTTTTTAATAAGGTGTCTTGCATTTGTTTCCTGAAATATTTAAGTAAATGCATTGCTTGAATCTTATTTTAATAATTGCAGTTAAAAGCTAATTTTTTCTAAGTATATTATTTGAAACAATAATTGTAGGTTTCTCGAAGTAACTGACATTTAGAGATACATTAAAAGATAATTTTATAGTAACTACTCAAAAAATATTTATAATCTTGCCAATAGATTGTTTACACATTCTAGAAATTAATTTAAAATTGAATTTGATAATAACAAAAAAATACGTCATATAATATTAATACTCTACATTTAAAAACGAACTGTAAAACAGTTCGTTCGTATTTGAATCTCCCACGCCGGCCTGAGAGCATAAAAAATACACCAACCGCCAATTTAATCGCGCAAACAGTAAAACGAGGCTGTCGACGCGGCAAGGCCAATTCCGATAATATTATACACAACGAGTTAAACACCTATCCCCACTCTTGGAATAACATACTTAGACCCTCTGCTAAAACATAGAAGCGGGCACAATTCAGCATCTGTTTCGCAAAAACGTGCTAAGGCTGATGTGTACTTATGAACTACAACCTAGCATAAGCATCGCGATATGATATAACGCTTCTTTTATCACGCTCAATTGTCAAATTACTATGGAGTTTGACAGTTAGGCGCGATAAAAACGTGATATAATGTAAATTGCGATGCTCATGCTACGGAGACTGAAATGATGAATAACAAGTGCGACCGACCATATAGGTATGACGTTGTGGTTTGGGGGAGGCCTTTGCTCAGAAATAGGCGTCGTATGGCTGATATGATATACTTCCGACTTAGGAGGCTAATATGATATAATAATAAATAACTATAGGATAAAATTAAATTAATATTTGCATGTTTCCATAAAATAATTAATTTTCCAATCAGAAAAATAGTAACCTCTAAATGCTCTTATTTTGATCTCCATACCTAAATTCATCAAAATCTGTTCAGCAAATAACCCCGTAACGTAAAGCGTAACAGTTTCTTTCGCATTTATAAAGATTTTAAGATAGCATTGCAGTTTAGCTATTTGAATACTTATTAGTCTACTGCCGCTTTTGATTTGACCACCTTCTGTAGTTGCGATGGATGTATGATTATCTTTGATCATTGCAAATTCACTGAATTCCACTCTTGTTTCCGTCTATGTTTTAGCAGAGCAAGTATGTAAAACTCGACTTGGAAGTAATGTCTATACTGAACATATCATTGCAGCTTTCATGCTTTTTAGTAAGAGTTTTAGACACCAAACCCCGTTATTAATAAACGAAGACTACGCATGGATTAGTTACTCCTTCTTTTGTCTCTGTCTATTGAATGACAAATAGTGTTGCCAGGTGTCCCGATTTGAAAACGGGACGTCCCGATTTTCAGGGGTCTGTGGACGCGTCCCGATTTCTACGTTGTCGGAACGCTAAATGTCCCGATTAATCAAAGAATGAAAATAAGTTAATTAATATAATACTATACTTGCACTAGTAGTTTAAAACGCAATAAATAAACCCAGACCTAAAAACCCCTTGTATTTGTGTTTACTGTACCGCTTTGCAACCCTAAGTCCAGATTTTTTTGACCTCATGTACCGATTTAAAACAAATCGGACATGGCAACACTAATGACAAATGGCATTTGAGTGACATGAACAAAACACGACCTAACTAGTCTAAGCTTAATCCTTGTTTATTAATAAGGGAGAATGAATTACATTAAAGTCTGGCACAATGACTCCCAATTATTTCATAAAGTTTATCATATAACAATAATGAGGTATTTTATAATTATATTTCGGACCACACACAGAATTTACCCAAATACAAAGTACAAATCTATAATAAACAACTTAAACTAGAAGACACATAACTTTACCAATTTTAATTATAATAATGATTATCACTAATTACAAATTAGATACAATATTCTGTCAAAATTTCCAAATTCATAAAGAATAAAAAAGAATAATAGTATAGGTTAACCCTAGTTTTGCGTATTTAATTCATTTTGGGTAGGTGTAATCAACAGGTCATACAAGTATTTTAAATCAGTTCAAATCTTTAATAAATGCTAAGAACTTAGTTAATACTTCAATTGTTGTATTTAAAATTGTATCTACATATCAAACACACGTTCGGGAGCCTTAAAACTTTTGATCATGGTTCCAATTTGGGGGGTATATCAATGACCAGGGCGATACATATAATGCGCTCGATTCCATTGCATACATACCCTCTTAATTTTAAATAAATAAGAATTAGAAATGCTGTGAAAATCAGTTTTATTTCTTGTAAGAAATCTGCATGTAAAAGTTAAAATAAAATGTATCCCACATCACTGTCCTTTATCTTATAAGAAATAAATAAACTACCTAACTGTTTTTAAGCATTAATTTGGAATATGTATAACAGAATCGAGGCACTATTTATCTATACTTAATATTGGTTTTCACTAACATAAGTGCAAAAATTTAAAAATAACATTACAATAATTACGCTACAATGCTGAATTAATTTATAATGCATTGAATTATACTTGTGTTAGTATTGGCTAACATTGAAATACGTAATAATAAAATTTGAACAGACAAAACTCGTTCGTATTACTTAAGCAATAGACGCGCCCGCCGTTTGAGCACTTGCTTACATTGTCATAGCTTTGTATTCAATAAGGCAACATTTTTTAGATTAAGTAAGTACCTAGTAATTTAACCATTCCATGCCAAATTTGATAAGCTAGCGAATTCAATTTAAACATAATCCTAGCCAACGTATTCCCAGATTAAATTTAAACACACATATTTAATAACAACAATACGTATTTCACCATCTCGTCAGACAAGATGAGGACGGCTATTTCGTGTCGAGTAAAAGTGCAATAGAACTTACTAAGAAATTTAACAATGATTCACTTATTTGTAATGAATATTAATATTGCTCTCATGCCCCAGGCATGTATGCTATACAGCTATATTTATACGAAGTTGCTACTAGAACAACTACAGCGCTAAAGTAGTTTCTAACCTTTATCTAAACATTGAAAGCTGTTACCACTACGTCGCTTGAAAAAATATTGTATATTTTAATTACAACTATAACGCATTGTCATTCTACTTGCACTCACAGTAGATGGAAATCAATCTGTATCATAGCAAAATCCTCTAAACTATGGTTTAACAACACGAGATAAATATGTAATGCGATTAAAAAGCAAACTTAGTACAGAAAATTACATCTGTTGTGTGAATTGACTAGTACTTAGTGTGACAGATTACTATGTTTTATACTTCAAATTCTATAAAGATTTATGGGTCCCAGAAAGTAATGTATGTACTTACAAAATTGTAATGAATCTAGATTACATTTGAGTAGGTACAATATCTAAAATCAAAAGGTTCAAAAGAAGTTTTACTATGATTTTAAATTGCAACTTAATAGTGTTAAAGAGTATTATAGTAATATGCATAAACAATTGAAAGTATTAATGAGCAAAATGTATAAATTAACCTACTGGAAAGGAGAACTATCCTAAAGAAAATTAAGTGATAATACAAAGACGCCGAACCGAGCGTTATTGTTCTACCATCAAAGGTTCTAAATTATTCACTCAACAAGCATTTGAACAAACGTTCATAACTCAACAGCTCATACTAAAGATCACAGTTTCTGCCACATAAGTGATTGATAATACATAGGTTATTTCTAAGAAACGATGGCTGAACGTGATACACTTCACCATTATAAGAGTTAACATTAGTTGAAAGATTACAATATACTACTTACTTTTGTTTTTTTTATATTTAACTTCAAATACAACCGAAATTAATGTCTCTGACATAAATATAGCTATGTATATTGTATCTAATCGCTGTGTTTCTGTCTTTATCATAATATGATCAATCACCTTTTACAAAATATTGTGAAACATGAAAAACTGTCAGACGTCAAAAGACCTAAAATCGAAAATCTGTGAAAAGTTGTATACTGGAACGGTTGACTGTAGTCGAGATAACGAACGACTCGGCCGCACATCACTTGGTCTTGCTAGGGTCACACAATCTCGGGGAAACGTGGATACTTGATAACTTGCGTCAATAAAGAAACAATTCCAAAAAAGCGATGTCACTTCTCCCGACAGCAATTATACCATAGAGGTATAAGAATAGAGTAGGGAATGCGGCTCTAAAAGTGTCCGTCTAGTAGAAAGAGAAAGACGATGACAGACCGCTAGCTATCTCTCTCTTGTGGCGCATGGCATCCAATGGCATCACATTGAAATAGTAAGATACTTACGGTTGCCAATGCGCATGCGCGATTAGAGAGAGACAGCTAGCGGTCTCTTATCTTCTTTCTCTTTCTATTAGAGGGACACTTCCACATGTAGTAGTCTATATCTCCCCTACTATATTCTTATACCTATATATATATATTCTGACCATAGGGTCAGAATGCCTTGCGTCGCCGTTTGAGATTCGTTTCTTTATTAACACGATTTATAACATCAAAGCTGACTGCAACCACACTCAATAGAAATATAATTTTCACATAAGCACTGCCATCAAAACTGCTTATTCACGAAAATGTCTGTCCACGCCGCGAATTTAACAAAATTTTATTATAAAGATGACCAAAGTCGCTGTATTAAAGTTTAAGTTTTGTCCAAATGTGAAGAAACAGCTTTCGTACGCAAGACAAGCGACCACTCACACTTTGCTGGTCTGAACACTAATCTTATCCAGAGACCCAACACTATTGAGGTGGCGGTATTCACTGTAAGAACAGACCTGTACAGCTTTGTTCGAGCAACACTGCAAATTGTTCCATATCTATGTGGTGATGTCTGGCTGCCGTAAGGTTTCAATATTCAATGTAGGAACACAACATTATTGTTCAGTATCTGTGTGACGATGGATAATTCCCTGGTAAACACAACATTTCAGTTTGTTCAGTGTCCATGTAGTGCCAGTTAGTTCGCCGGTGAGTGTGTGAGGCGACGGTCGTGTGTGCGGTGCCGAATGTTTATATATAAATATATATATAAAGAGTATGTAGTTAGGTGTGGCGACAGGGCTCGACCGCGGGCCGTCACGCGCCCGTAAGCGGCGGCCCGTCCGTCTGTACGTCCTTGTCTTCTGTAGGCGGTGCACAGGCACGATCGGAACCGTACCGCCTTGATAAATCCAGCATCTCCCTCAAACCCTGAATGAAATCGAAACACCAGATTAACACAAACCGCCTTATTACAAATCAAAGAATAAGGCCCATATAGAATGACAACTAAGTGTTGATCTTTACTTGAATACAGTTAGAAAGGGATGTCGCTATGTGCTATACATAGCGACATCCTTTTGTAACTATGCTCAAGACTAGATTAATAACTGAGAATCTTTCTATAATATGGGCCTAAATTTGGACTAAAACTGATGCTGTCAGTTTTGTTTGCTAAAAAGAAGACAGAGACAACATTAGGTTGAACCAAGGCTAGCTTCAGCCCGTGTTTTAGGAGGCGGAATAAGGCGGAAAGAATTTTAGGTCAACTAAACATCAGATCTAGATTTAAGTAAGCTATGTGTGTCGAATTGTATGAAAACAGAACCTAACATGCTGGCAAATTAAGTGGTAGACAGGCATGGCCATAGGCAACTTTCTTCAATTCTATCGTTTTTACAGTTTTATGAATTTATGATACAATGACAATAAATAAAAATGCGATTGACATCAGTATCGGAGAACAGTGATGAAAAAAAAGGAAGAAAAGGAAGATATTTGGTCTCCCTTTTGGCATGTTTCTGGCTTGGGAAGTACATACACTACTACACGGTATCTATTCCAATCTGTCTGTGATTTCCATACTGATTCAACTGTTACATAGCTATAATGTTCTAAGATTTATTGAATGAATTACGTTTCTTCAATACGACAACAGCAGCAAGCAACTAAAGTTTAATTGAATTTTAGTACTGAGAAAACATATGCGATTTATATAAATCAAATGGTGAAGGTTATCTTTCAAAAGTATCCAGTTTATTGCAATGACCTTAAAATTTCTGTCTATTTACATTTAAAGAAGAATATAAGTAAAATTCCACCACTCATTAAATAAAAACAAGTTTCAACGGTATAGATGTACTGATTTATTTATTCATTGTCATCTGAATAATGATTTTATTTACTTTGTTCAGCTAAGTTTAAATCTTTCGAAGGTAGCTCGACAAAGTAAATATAATAAATATTCAGACGATGCATCCTGTAAAGGATGCAAAACATCAATAAATAAATAAATCAGTGCATCTGTACCGTTAAAAGTTATTATATTTAAAATTTAAGTGTTATTTAATGAAAAAAATACTATCATTAGATAAAGAAAAGACCAGTGTTTTTAAGTAACAGCAGCATGCTAAAATGCTTTGTTTTTGCAAAGCTGTATCCTTACTAAGTATAAATCATTAAAAACAAACCACTACACATTAAATTACTTTAAAAAAAATATAATACAAAGTTTTTAAATATACAAATTATAAACAGTGGTAGCGGGCCACCACTAATTATACGAAATTACTTTTGAAAATAGTATGTTCAGAGTAATTAATTTGATTGATATAATACCTTGTTCTCTGTAATAAGCCTTTGGTAAAGTTCTTCTTCTTTTCTGGAATCACCATTGTCATCCATGTTAACTGCTTTGTACATGATACTAGTCATCTCATTAATCCTTTCAGCTTGTTGACGAATTAACTAGAATATACAGTTATAATCACATTAATCTCCATGTACAGAGAAATCATTGCCTTATCCCATAAATAAGTAGAAGATTCCTATAAAGTTACTTTTTCATAGAGAACTCATTATCTAACAGCATAGGCTGTAGCATATCAATAAAGATTTTGCCCCTTTTCATCCAGATGGATTTAAAGCAAAATGTCCTTTTTTTGATGGCACTAGAAACATTTTTTGCAAATCTAAATAATGCCCTAGATGCCCTATTTATGATACTACAAATCATAACAAAAATTATGATAAACTAGCAGATAAAACAGGCCTTTTCTTCACTGTCAAGTTAAATAATGACTCCTTACTCACTTTAGTTGTTATATTAGTTTCATAAAAATTGTGAGGTCTATTAGAACTGTGTAGTTTTTATTTTGTATATTTTATTACATTTAATGATTAAATATAAAAATAACATAAATCAACAAGTTAAAAGGTAGAATTATCAATTCTATTGCCTTGCCAACCCCTCATAAAAACACTGTGTATGTTCTCTGGGCCATATCATATTATGAAGTATCATTTAAAAATGCAACACTTTTCTTTTTAAAAATAGATACGTTTTCAGGGTTCACTGAATTTATATATATATCTATATCTAACTGAAAAGATTTTCTTACTTATATATTGTTACAAGGCTACACAAAACTACAAACTCAAAGCAAAATGCATACCTCTTGTTGCTTTTCATTAATAGCAGCTGTAAAATCTATTCTTGATTCCCATATTCTCTTTTCAGTATGCTGACGATACTTTGACATGATCAGTTCTAAAGCCCTCCTATGGTCCTCGAGTGCTGCACGCAGTTTACCATTTTCACGTTGAACATCCCTCATCAGACGAGATTCTCTTTCTATACTTGCAATAAGTGCACCTCTTGGTCTTTCCCTCGATGCTTCGTTTAATGTGTCCACTTCTTCTTTGTACTGAAATATAACACACCAACTAATATTTTCCGCTTATTCTCAATATTAATATAAAAGAACCTATCTCACAACAAAAACTTATTTGAATGTAAATGTCATGAAATCAACACAAAGTCAATGTAGGATAATAATTGAGGTGTCCTTCACCTACCAGCATAATTTGTAATGAAGTACAAGGTCCTATCAATAAACAAAAAAACTGATAGCCAATTTTGGGATTTAAATATCTTGCTGTTTGCAAGGGTAATTTCGAATTCTACAACACAACTGTACAGACGTTGGTGACGTATTGTAAGTAAATAGAAAGTAAATTTTACAGTTGTATGCCGTGCTTTAAGTTTACGACTCGTCCAATTCCCAAATAACATTGTGTTCGACAGCTTACCTGTTTCATGGTGTGTATTTGCCTATATGCTGTTTGAGTCTCAGTCAATAAAGCATCCGCTTCAGTCTCTCTTTCTTTAAGACGACCTGCTAGTCTTTTTGCGTCCAAAATAATTTGCTGTATGGTCAGTGACATCTGAAAAGGCCAGCAATGTAGAAACACTTCGAATCAAAATGCGTTTGGTATTTATAGATTCAACTAGACAAACCCTGTTTTCCAGAAAATAGTATAAGTTGAGTGACGTATCATCTAAGTAATTTCACACAGTGAGATGGATAAAACACAAAATTTCATCGAGAAACTAACGACGCAGATCAGCTGTTTCGTGATGATTCGACACGGGCGGCCATTAGCTTTCTTTTGAAACTGGCTTGAGCATCCGACCAAATTGCGTTTCCTCTCTTGTAAAATAGAAACCAGCAACAGAAAACTATTGTTCCATAGACTTTTAGTACATTAGAAAGAGAAAGAGTATTAATTTCAAATGATGGAGGTTTCCTTTTTAAAGTGTCCACCTTAAAGCAACGATATGACCTTGAGAATTTGTCTATGCTTCACTATAGACTACAGATAGATAAAAAAAGAAAAAGCAAACAATGTCATAGGTTTATGATCTTTCAGCAAAGGACCCATAGAAGGATAATAAACCTTATAAACGTTCTCACTATTATGATAAATAAATAATTTATTTAAAACTTAGGAACTTAAAATCTACTTTCTATGTAACTAAATATGACTGGGGGGAGACTTACTTTGAAGACTTTGTGTCTTAGTCACATAGTAGATTATTCATAAAATAATAAATTAGTCTAAGAGAATGGTATTTAAATCGTGATTGATGTCGTATCGAATGGATGCTACCAACCATGTTATAATATTTTATAGTTCAATGTTGTCCTGAATAAAATAAAATAAAATGTTATTTTACTGAATGGAGGTCATCGTATTTTGTTCTAATATTATTGAATAGGTAAGGAATTATTTACTTATGATAATACCTACCTAACTCTTTTTGTAGTTATTATTATTATTATTGAAGTCATACTTCTTTAGCCGCGTTATGAAAAAATTATGAGAGTGAAATTTTAAGATGCGCGCGCATCACTGTAACACAAAAGTAACATAATGAAGTTAGCCGCGGGCGCATTATGAATGTTAGTGTCTAATAATGGTGGCAGTGTTGCCAACTCTACGTCTTTTTACGTAGATCTACGTATTTTAGGCCTTTTCTGCAAACCTACTAACTTCAGTCCCAGAATCTACGTATTTTCTTGAATTTTTTCAAATTTGTAAAATAACTTAATTCACTAGAATATTTTCCGTAACTTTACTTAAAAACTATACAAATGTTTGTTTCTTATAAAGATGTATCTAAAAACTCTTGTATCTTGTAGAAAAGGTTCCCGTTATTGGTTTTGTTGACTAAATTAATGTTGGACGCCGGATTTGTGACAGCAGAAACGTCAAAACTCTTTGACTTAGTAAGTACATTCATAACCTTAAAAATTGTATTTTTAAACTCTAAATATTATCAATGAGTACTTACCGATGTAAGCACTTACTTTACTAATTGATCTCTGCAAAAAGAAATGACTTTCAGTCGATAAAATTACAGGATTTAGCAAGTTTTAAACATGCGTTCATCTGTAAGTATGTTTATTTCTCTTGGCAATTAAAAACCACAACTTTTGTAGAATCTTTTACCAAGTGTATCATGATAACTACTATATTTTTCATGTGATCTATTAGAAATCATGATTTTATAATATTAACTCAGAAAGTTTATTTCCTACGTGCTTGCGAGTGTTTGTTTACAAATTTTTTGACGTCATAGCATAGATAAGTCAATAGACTAAATAGCGTTTTTGTATGTCGTCTAGGTAAAAAAAAAAATATTATGTCTGATAGAACAGTTATTAACAATTTAAAACATAATTCCAAAAAATTTCAACTAGCCTATTTAACAACAGTGTATTCTTGTCATTCTCTATACAGAATGAAAAAGAGAGACTGATTTTAAATTTAGTTTTATATTTGGAGAATCATGCCAGAATCGACACCCACCAGTGTCTGTGTCTGATGGTGAGTGTCTACCACAGCATGGTAAGTGCTTCCAATGCAGCGACTTCTCCAAGAACTCATTGTTCTATCTTCCGTTTTTAAAGAAATTGTATAACAAAATACTCGTTTTATTCGGTTTCGCCTAACTTCTTCATTTCACTCAGAAAAAAATTACGTAGATCTACGTACTTTTCATATGCAAAATTTACCAATTCTACGTAATTTTCTCATCGGGCCTACGCCTTTTTCAAAATCCGAGTTGGCAACACTGAATGGTGGTTAATAATCCACCCAGTGTTGCCAACTCTACGTATTTTTACGTAGATCTACGTATTTTAGGCCTTTTCTGGAAACCTACTAACTTCAGTCCCAGAATCTACGTATTTTCTTAAATTTTTTCAAATTTGTAAAATAACTTAATTCACTAGAATAAAGAAGAATATTTTCCGTTACTTTACTTAAAAACTATACAAATGTTTATTTCTTATAAAGATGTATCTAAACACTCTTGTATCTTGTAGAAAAGGTTCCCGTTATTGGTTTTGTTGACTAAATTAATGCTGGACGCAGGATTTGTGAAAGCAGAAACGACAGAACTCTTTAACTTAGTAGGTATTTTCATAACCTTAAAAATTGTATTTTTAAACTTTTACTACTATCTATGAGTACCTACTCACATCCAATTGATCTTTGCAAAAAGAAAAGACTTTCAGTCGATAAAGTTACAGGATTTAGCAAATTTTAAGCATATGTTCATGTGTAAGTATGTTTTTTCTCTTGGCAATTTAAACCACAACTTTTCCAGAGTCTTTTACCAAGTGTATCATGATAACTACTATATTTTTCATGTGATCTATTAGAAATCATGGTTTTATAATATTAACTTAGCTATTTATTTCCTACGTGCTCGCGAGTTTTGTTTACAAATGTTTTGACGTCATAGAATAGATAAGTCTGTAGACTAAAGAGCGTTTTTGTATGTCTTCTAGGTAAAAAAAAAATTTTTTCGTTCTGATAGAACAATTATTAAGAATTTAAAACATAATTCCAAAAAGTGTCAATTAGCCCATTTAACAACAGTTTATCCTTGTCATTCTCTATACAGAATGAAAAGGAGAGACTGATGTTAAATTAAGTTTTAAATTTAGAGAACCATCCAGAATCGGCACCCACCAGTGTCTGTGTCTGATGGTAAATGTTTACCACAGCATGGTAAATGCTTCCAATGCAGCGACTTCTCCAAGAACTCTTTGTTGTATCTTCCGTTCTTAAACAAATTGTATAACAAAATACTCGTTTTATTCGGTTTCAAATAACTTCTTCATTTCACTCAGAAAAAAGTACGTAGATCTACTTACTTTTCATATGCAAAATTTACCAATTCTACGTAATTTTCTCATCGGGCCTACGTCTTTTTCAAAATCCGAGTTGGCAACACTGAATCCACCATTATTAGACATCTGTTCGAAAGGTACTTTGAACGATCCACGGAGCTCCATAAGATGATCGCGTTGTCAAAAACAATGTTGGCACGCTCGTCGCCTCTGATCACTGTTTTCATATTTATAATATTTATCCACATGTTTCTAGTTTCTATATAGACACAACGTGTTTTAGTTACTTACAAGTGCTAATTACATATGGACTAATAACTTAAATTCAGTAGTGATTTAAATTGAATATTTTGATTATTTATTAAATTTTTCAAATTAAAACTGAACTTTATTGACTGCGTTGACTATCCTTTTCCAATCCTTTTATTATCTTATTGTAATTAATTATCTGCATGCAATTAAAAACTATTTTTTAATAATTCCAAAAAGAAGTATAACTTCTCACGCGCGTACTTAAGTACACGCACCCATATTTTTTTTTTCTTCTTTCTGTGGCGTTCTCCGTTATTTTATGTAAAACCTTTTTGTTAGCGCGAGTCGATGGTGTTTCTTTATGTCACCGACACTTCATACTAGGAACTTTTGCAAAATACGTCAATGGTGTATATCTATAAAATATAAATATGATTGCGACTACCTAAACTATTATATATATATAGAGCTGATGTCTTTCCTTTCTACGATCCACTTCCTGAACATGTAATGGTAGCAAAGGAGCGTCGTTGAATAAAATAAAGAGGAAGATTAGTGGAAATTCTTTGACAAGGTCAGTACCGAAACAATTGAAGACGTAAGGTACCGAAAAAAAAAGAAGTAGGTAGGTATTCAGATATTTGATGGTGCTAATTTCGAAAAATGTAAATTTAGATTAAAATTGTTTTTGCAAATGAAAGAATGCCAAAAAGCTGTGGAAAATTATGAAACCTCAAAGCATGACAGTCACCGAATGGAGAAAAATTGATTTAAAGCCGTGGACTTTAATATTTCAAGGCAAAAAACATAGATAAATGATTGATATTAAAGTGAATAGCGTAAATAATACTCAGCTCGAAATAATAATGAATAAAAGTACGGTTTACAGAATGTTTAAAAAAATTTACGAGATGTCTTTAATAAAAGGCAGTGCTAATAAATTATTGATTAAACGGAAAGTACTAGAAATAGAATTCAAAGATGGCGACGATATAACTAGTAGAATTTACACAAACATTTGAAAAACAAATCAATGAATTGAAAAATGCTGGAGAAGTCGTACCGAAAGGGGATAGACTGAACTATTTATTGCTTGCATTACCTGAAAGTTTTGCACGTATTGTAAATATTGTTGATGCGATTCCGATATAGGATCGGACAGTGGAGTACGTGAAGTCCAAATTATTACCTACGTATACCTATGCATGCGTTCAGTACTCGATCCAATCAATATCAAGTTGGCTCCAAAAATAATGAGAAATGCCCAGGAGAAATTGTCCTAAGTTATAGGTAAGCGGTATATCTATAGCACGTCGTGGTCACAGTCATGGTACACACAGGCGGACGACAAAAACTCACAGAGGATATAAAGAAGGATATAGCAATAGATGCGTGAATACAGGACAGAGTAGCAGCACCAGTGATGGATATGGATTCAACGTCGAAGTATAAGCGATAACAGGAGCAGCCGAAACGAAAGCGAATATAACATAGCTGTTCATAACATAACATCGTAAATGATGAGAAGTTCTTTCGTGGCTATAAAATTTTAGAAGCACCAGTTAATCAAAAGGGAGACCCTGGGCCCGATGTCACCACATATAGGCCGATTGCCGTGCTGTCTATTTTTGCAAAGTTATTTGAAACGATCCTTAATGGATGTATTAGTCAACAGATAAGTAGCCGGTTGCATGATAGTCAGCACGGC